TTTTTTTTTTTTTTGATTTGGGTAGCTCGACGAGATCTCGCAGCTGCAAACTGACGAAGGCGGTTTAGCCGCCCGAATTTTCAAAAAAAATGCCTTTTTCTTGCTTTAGTTTCATTTTAATGAAAAAATACGTTTTTTTTTTATTTTTAAACCTCTATATCTCCACAATCAAGACTCATTTTCGAAGTTTTTTTTTACATAACAATGCTCTCAACTTCTATTTTATGTACCAATTGGAAAAAAATAGAAAATGCATAATTTCTGCAGTTGCTAGGTTAGTTGTCTAGGTTAGTTGTCTGATGCTGCTAGGTTAGTTGTCTGATTGTGCTAGGTTAGTGTCTGCATTTTAAGAGCTGGCCTCATTTGATCCGCCCCCTATATATATATATATATATACATAAAAAAACACACACACACACACGCACACACACATCACATCCACACTCCATCTCTCATCTCCTTTCTCTCCTCCCTCTTTTGTTCAAATGTTAAACTAAAGTTAGGGTTGGGTCGGGAAATGGCCTTCCTCGATTTTTTTTTTCCTCGGCCTCTACAGGTCAAAGTTTTGAAGGCTTAGCTCGACTCAACAAAAATGTTCAAACGCTCGAACTCAGCTAGAATTCAACTCAAATTTGGCTCAAAATTCTCAATCGAAAGTGATTATTCAAATAAGAAATTTGGCTCGAAATTTGCTTGAGTATGGCTCCCATTGAACTCGATTCAAGTAAACTACACTTATACTCAAGCAACTCGTCAACCACTCAATCTAGTTACAAAAATATACAGGCTCGAGCTGGCTCAAGTTCACGATTGAACTGCTCTCGCTAACTCCTATCATCAAGTACTATTAGAGGGGCCCCCTCCTGGCTAAGCAAGATCAGAAGGCGAACCAGGACCTCTCATTCTATGTCTCTCTTCCGGCCTTGTTTGGTTGGGGGAAGCACCAATGCCACCTAGCCTACTAACGACAATCGTAATCTTCGTACATGTATCTTGGGAATTAAGAGAGAGGTGCATTCATCCGAGCCAAGGGCTTATAAACTACGAATTACATCGAAGTTGTGTGGAATGCAAGAAAATAAAGTTAGCCCATCCAAAGAACACACAAATATATTTGCCAATGTTGTCCTAAATGTCAAGCCATTCCCTTTGCCAAGTTGAAATATGGCTACTCACATTGACAGTTGTTGAACCACTAGGATCAACCACATAGTAAGGCGAATCCTCGGAAAATTCAGCAGTCATCTTCAACCAATAGAGACTTGACTCCCGATCGATTTTCTTGAGAACCTTAAGTATCTCCTTCACCACAATCTTCGAACCTTCAGCCGACAAGTGGATTCCATCTCTGTATAATGTTATACAATTCAGTTTCACGATTCACTTGATAAGTTAAAAAAATGAAAAGGAAATGTAAATATTAATCATTTTCTTCGCGAAGTTGATAGTAAGTGTTGAATATAATTGACTTACATGAAGCAAGCATTGGCCCAATCATCTCTTTCTTGAATTGCTGTCCAGAGATTGATGGCCTCAACATCCATTTCCATGCACAAATCTACCAAAGCTTCTGAATATACACGACAGCTCTCGTTCGTTCGGACTTGATCATCGAGCCCGTCACTGATTTTTTGGTGAGAAAGAAATATCTAACTTTTCGAACAAGAAAGTAAAACTTTACTTACTATAATAGCAGACTTTATGGTTTTACCCAAATATTTCACGAACTTTCGCTTCGTTCACAGGAGGCGATGTCAGACATATTATCCGTGTCTCATCAGAAAGACTCTGAAAATTTAATGAAATGTTGTTAGAATAGTTTCTTTTTCTTTTATTCCGGTCAATAATTAGTTACTGTTCACAATCAATCATCAGAATTCAGATGCCAGTGAACTCATATCCATTACCTCATCTTATAGTATGTAGTTTAAAAAGGGCGAATAGTGTGAAACAAACCTTTATATGAACAATCATCTTTTTCATGTTCTTGATATATTCGGGAAGAGGCACATGGGAACCAAGTCCGCTTGGATGCGGATTTGTTGCATCATTACCACCAAAATATAATATAACCAGAGAAGGCTGAATAGCTGCATCCTGAATTCAAATTCAATTACGAAAAAAAAAAATAATAATAATAAAATAAAAAAATGTGTCATAAGTTCGAATAAAAACTATAAAAGGGATAACTCTTGATGTGGGTACATTATGCATGAACCACATCGATAAGCAAAATATATATTTTGATGGAAAAGCTGAACGATATATATCAAACTAGAATAATGTATTATGAATACTGTATATATATATATACCTTGGGAAAGACTATTTCAAAGATTTCGAGAGCCATCCTCGTGTTCCAACCAGCGTATCCTCTTAGTACCACATCAGCCTTCAACAGTTTTAGAAAATAGTTCATTAGCTCGTCCAACTGGATTTTGTTTATTCCTTAAGGAAAAATGGCTGATGTCCAGTTTTACTACGGACACTATTTTCCATCTTAAGTGTCTGCAAATCCCAATAGAACTTAAAGAAAACACAACACTGCTGACCACATCCCCACATAAAAATGCCGTTTACTTCTCCACAACAATTTCATTTTTTATCAATCAGAAAAACCAATCACGAGATCATCGAATACCAAGACATAGTCAACAAGAGGGATAAGCAATCAAAAGCTTCTATTAATGATAACCAAATAACCAATACCATCATTAACCGACAATTTAGAAATAATCAGAGCCCAAAAATGGAAATCATAGCTATCCCATAAGAAGTCCAACTCAAAAAAGCCCTTGGATAGATGATAATCGATCTTTTCCACTTAACTAAAGTTAAGGGTTATTTCCAAATCGGCAGCTAAGTCAAAAATTGCCAACACAGGAGCATAATCCTTTGGAAAACAAAAACATCCACTTTTCAAGTTTATAAAAATCCCATAAAATCTCTGTATCTTGACCAAACACCATCCAAAAATACAGCTAGATTCAAAAGACCAAAACAAAATGAGGTCCCAAACCATAAATAAATGAGCTCCCAACAAAGAAAGAGCAATGAAGACAACACAGCAACCTAAGTATGTCCAAAATATTGAAACCCATCAAAGAAAGAAGCAGAAAAATGGTACCTTTCGAGTGTAGAGGTCGGCAAAAATGGAACCCCAGCCACCAACGTTGTAGCTCATCTGAACTATGGATGACCCGAATAGAACGAACTGCGGGCGACCCGGACCCACCATTTTTCTCTTACTCTTCTTCTTCGTCTTATTCAGCTGCGTGTTGCTGTGTGTGCTTTCTAAATTGTGCTCCGTTTGTGCGTTAAACAGAAAAGAGAAAAGTTTGGGTTTGGGTGGGTGCAAATCAATAATTATAAAAGATTTTATTTCTTAATTCCCCAAACGAGATTTGAGTTGCCTAGCTTGACTTTACCATTATCGATGGGACCATAAATTTCAGACAGGATAATGTTTGAGGGATTTAAACTGAACCAATGATTTTTCTGGAAAATGCTATGGTCCGGTTACAGTACCATCTCGTCGAGTGTTTTAACCTTTTGATCATCTATCTTATACTAACTACATGTGTATCCAACGGTTAAAATATCCGACGGGATGGTACCGTAACGGGACTGCAACATTTCCCGATTTTTCTAATCTTACTTGCAACAAGTAGTGAAGACAATTAGATAGAAAAATATAAAATTTATTAATTAACTTATTAGTTATTTTTACTATATACTTTATGATATGGCATAGTTCGGCAGGATTAACATCATAATAGCTTGGCAAATGCACCATTATAGTAGCTCGGCAGAAGCATCATTATAGTAGTTCGGCAGAAGCACTATTATTAGCTCGATGAGCGGACCGACCAAATCCATTTGAGCAAGTGAGACGAGCTCGGCTGATTAGTTAAACTAATGAATCAAATGTGAGATGACGAGCTAATTAAGCTTGGCGGATCGAGAATGGGCAGCATGGGGGGCCTGGTAGATCAGCTCGGCTACGTGAATACCAGGGGCACTTCGTCGGGTGCTCGGCTGGAGGGTGGCTTGGCGAGATAGAAGGACGCTCGGGTCCTAGGAGTATGGTGGTTCCGTATAGGCAAGGGAGTCTATCTTCTCGCAATCGACTGAATTATAAATATGAAGGATTCTAAAGTTAGGACTCGACTACTAGAGAGGCAATATAAAAGGGGCAGGTTTTTTCCTATTATCACATAACACACTTACACAGAAAATAAGATTACGTCTCGTTATTTTGCCGTTTTACTTTGAAAACCTTATATTGAATTGAGCGTCGGAGTGTCTGCGTCGGGATCACCCCCGACGTAGTTTGCAGGTATTGAAGATCGAGAGGAGGCGATCCGGTTCGGGTTGAACCACTTTTGCGACATTTTTTTTTTTTTTTTTTTTTTTGTCGACTGAGAGTTATCTCTACATTCACTCCACGGCTTCACCACCCACTGCAGCCCACTATCCCTACATTCACTTCACGGCTTCACCACCCATTGCAGCCACCAACTCATGGTAAAGGGTCTATCACGCCTAGGAGATCTCCACGCAAAGGGGTGCCACTAATCCTCCCAGAAAAACTGCAATGTCTCACTCACACTCCTCACGATAATCAGGATCGATCCCGTGACTTCTAGCTTCAAAGGGAGTTTCACCCTCAACTAGTTATCACTTGACCTCACGCCATGGGGGCCTTTGGAAACAATTTGACTTATCATTTTATTGTATCACTTAATTTTCCATCCTTCAATTTATAACTTCGAATTAATAGCTTGTTAACTAGATTTGTACGCCAAATTATTTTCTCAAAAAATTCAATTATATTAATTAGGACAACCCAACTCGTTATATTTGAGCATTCTAATTAAAATTGAGAAAGAAAAGTCCCCAATTATTTTCATATTTGCACAGCAGCCCCAAATAGCTTTCAATAACTAGCCATCCCGTTTACCATCACAGATTCTTACAAGCAGCACAATAACTTCAACATGATTACACAAAGTATAACAAGGCACAAGCCAAAATCACACCAGTCAGAGTGTAATTTTGAATAAATTAATAACAAAAGAAAAAAAAAATAATAGAGGGAAAAATAAAAAATTCGACTCGTGTACAAAAACTCCCATCTTCAGAACAGGACACGAGGTAAAGGATTGCAGCTAAAAGCTTCAGCTTCCGCTTCATCCATCCACTCGATTTTCCAATGTGAAATATTATCCGATATGTTAACGGTGGTTTTTCCATCGGGTTCCACCGGATAAAATCGAGAATCCTTAGAAAATTCAGTTTTCATCGACATCCAATACAGGCTCGGTTTCCACTCAGCCTCTCTAAGTACTTTTAGTATCTCCTTTACAACTATTTTGCTACCTCCAGATGACAAATGTATTCCATCTCTACGTAAGAAGTTAAGAACAAACGTATAATTTTGCTATTAAGACAGTAAATTATGTTTCATGCATGGCACAAACAAATCCACGAGCAAGAAAAATCACAGCAAACAATAAGAGATTATCTAAAAAAGAAAAATAATCATTTTTGGTCTTTATTATTAGTTATTACCGTAAATAAGCAGCAGCCCAATCTTCTCTGTTCTGTAGCGCTGTCCAGAGATCAATGACCTTGATGTCCAATTTATTGCACAAGTCGATCAAAGCATCAGAATAAATATGGCACGCCTCGTTTGTGCGTTCTTGCTTATCAAATGAATTGCTGGTTTTTTGTTGGACCATTAAGAGCGTAAGACAGTAAAACTATACTTGATGAAAATATATCGACACACATTACACACTTAAGTCAAAATTAGTTACCCAAAGTATTGTTTGATCATTGTCTCGTTCACAGGAGGACACGTCAGAAAAATTATGCGCGTTAGATCTGAGAGACTCTACAAACAGTGAAAATGAAAATCAATGAATGTGTTTGCTTTATTTGATGTTCAAGATAAATCAAATTATTCACTTGAACCGAAATTTACTATAAATTCAGTTTAACAAGTATCTTCCTTAAAAATCACAGAGAATCATCTCGAAAGACCAAATTTTCCTAGAATAAGAAGAGCTAGCTCAACAATTTGCATGCTGATGAATATTTTTAGCACTAATTGTTTAAAACTGCCTCTCAAACTGAATAGCAATGTTTTCTTGCTTCATACAATAATAGCATTACGAATTTACGACAGTCACCTTGAGATGAAGATAAATTTTTTTCATGTTCTCGATATATTCCGGGAGAGGAACATGAGGGCCTAGGCCGCTCGGGTGGGGCCGCATTGCATCATTACCACCAAAATACACAATAACCAAAGAAGGTTGTACGGCAGCTTCCTGGAGCCAAATCTTAATCAAATTAAAACGTCGTTTTATAAGTAAATAGCTAATACAATTGGGGAACAATTGCAACACAGGTCGATCAAGCTTCAAGCATAATAACCATCACGGAAGTAATATCTGCAATTGAAATGATTCACACTAAATTTCTAGCAGCAAAGATAATACAGGACGATACAGTACAGTTGACTTAACAAAACAACTAATAGGGAGGTATAACTATTAGGCAGACTTAACAGCAATCGCGAAAGCTTACTTTTCCAACATATATGCATAGTTTCAAATTGAAATGGCATTAACTCTAGAAAACAACATAAGCAGCATAAAGTTTGCATTTTTATTAAAAAAACAAAGTATGACGGATCAACCCAGCATAGCGTTAGACCCGCGAATTGTACCGTTGGGAAAATCTTATTCAAGACTTGAAGAGCATTCCTTGAATTCCAAGCTCCATATCCTCGCACAATTATGTCTGCCTGGGGGAATATTCAAGGAAAAGTAACATAAAAGACCCAAAAAAAAAAAAAAAAGATTCAACCTTTACCTGGAATAAATTTTTTTCTCAAGCGAAACAGTAGAAAAATGGGGGAAAAAATAATAATGAGTATCAGAATTGAAAATTAGGGCAAAATAATTACACATTTGACTAGATGATGCAGATTATTAATTCTCATAAATAATCCCTAGAGCTAGAATGGGTACTAAACAACAAAATCTTATCACACTCAATCATTACTGCTTATGAGAGAGACAAAGGCCCAGAATATTGGTTTTTTCTTGAAATTCATACGAAATTTGAACATAGTATCAAGGAAAAAAAAAACTGGAAAATGATGAAACAAGTTCATTCATACCTTTCTATCGTATAGGTCGGAGAGGATAGAGCCCCAGCCTCCAGCTTTCAAGGACATCTGAACTATGGACGAGCCGAATAATACGAACTGTGCTCGAAGGGGGCCTACCATTGGTCTGCTAATGTGTGTGTGTGTGTGTGTGGTTTTTCAGATGAACAAATGCGAAGATTGTTCGATTGTCGTTAAGTAATAATGGAGCTCTGAAGTGAGACTGTATGTGCGTTATTGATGAATTATCAAGGGTGGCTTGATTAGATGGGACTAGATGAAATTAACCGAGATATTTTGAGTAATTATTATTTTCTTTTTCTTCATATCCGGTCGTGGGTCGATTGGTAGTCGGGACAACTAATAATGAACTTGGACAAACTCAATCACAAATGATCGATTATGACATTGACACGATCACGTCAATCAGATGTATCTCCACACAAATATATAATACGAATTAAGCTGGTCATTTACTTCAAATAACATGAATCTTAGGTTGCGTAGCAGTGAGGCCCACACGGTAATTATCTATAGGCCGATTATTCCATCTTGAGGGGACCTCAAATTTTTTTATCCCTTTTTAAAAATGTCTATTTTGTCCTCGTAATTTTTAATCATGTCTGTAAACATAAGATATGTTGATGTGTAAAGTTGGTTGAACTACTTTGTATAATCGTACTGGTAAATAATGAAAAGTCAACCACATGAATGCAATTTGACATGATGGGATTGGATGAATTTAACCGGGATATTTCAATGTTTCTTAACCCTGATTGACAGTGGGTTGACTTAGAGTGAGGACTGGTTCAATTGAATTGAATCCTTCGAGCTGGTTAATAGGAAGCCGGAGAAATTCGATCACAGTCCGATCGATTCTAGCATTGACTAGTTCATATAAACTCAATTTGACCCGATATTTATATATTTGTTCATTAGAATATTTTATATTAAAAATATAATTATTTATATGTTTATGCGGTAAATATATATAAGACAAGATAGAATATTACTAAGAAATTGAAGTCTTAAATTTAAATAAAATTTATTTATTTTTTTTAAAGATGTATGTTGTAAAAAGCAAGGAGCCAAGAACTAGATAGTGTGAAATTAAGATTAAACTTTTGAAGTAAAGAAATATCATGGAATGTATTTGTTTTTCTATTTTGCTAAAGTACCACTCTATCTTTTTTTTTTTTCAAAATCTTCCACTTCACACCTTGTAAATAGCCACAAAACGCCCAAATAAAAACTGACTAGCATCAAAATCCAGCCAAGAATCCCATCATGAACATTATTAATTGCTGCCCAGCTGCTTCATATCTTCAGCAGATTCGAACCAAATCGACCATGCGAAATTCACAAATATCAGCAACGTGACCGGTAAGTGAGCTTGGTGAATACATAAACTACATAGTTATTTTGGTATGTTACACAATTCCAAACGACCGTCTAAAACCCAACCTTTTTTTTTTTTTTTTTACACAAGACGGTCAGAATACTCTAAAAGCTTCGAACCTCATTCATCCTCATCATCACTGTCCTCGTCATCATCCTCATCTTCGTCGACATCATCATCACCTGCCTTCTGCACGTTAGAGAATTCAAGGTTATCAGTAGAGCTACAAGCAACAAGTCTAACTAAAAACAGTTCATGAAGATAACTAGAATTTCTTCTACTATCCACTGTCCACACTCAGCCAGAGCAAATGAAAACCCGAAATCATCAAATAAACTAAGGGCGTGATTGCATATGAATCCAACCGGTTTTGGTTGCATTTGGTTGGTTGAAGTGAGTTATTTTGAATAAAATTGATTGAATGGATGATTTTGAGTTCGTAATTAATTAATATTTAAAAGGTAATTACCATGTGTGAAGATGATTGATTAGTATTATTTAATTATATTTATAAAACGTATGAGAGGTGGGTCGATTTGGATTTTGAGTGAAATGATTGGAAAGAAAATAACTCAATATTAAAACCAGTTATGATCATATCCAATCACGCCCTAAAAAAACTTCTAATAATGTTAAATAGTCGAAAGAACCATTGAAAAACCGACACCGGTAAAAAGGCACGCCTAGGAAAAAAGAAGTTATCACCATATTAATAAAACATCGAATATAATAGCAAACAAATTACGAGAATTATGAATATGGAAGCATTGCTTACAAACCTGCACACTCCCCTCATCATCATCGTGAATTTCCGAGGTTGACTTCTCAGAACCTTCGCCACTCTCATCAGCAGAGCTCTCCTGTCAAATCCCAGACGAGGAGATAAAATATTGTTATAAATAAACGAGGAGAAAGAAAAACAAAAAAGAAAAATTAAAATAATAATAATACATGAATGCAAGTGTTCACCTCCTTCTTGTTGTAGGCATTCATGAGTTTTTCATACTCGGCTTTCTTCTTCGCTGCTTTAGCCTCATAAGGAGCCTTTTCCTGCGAAACAATTTCGCCAACAACAGCAAAACCACGTTTTTGCTGGCATCATACCATCGAAATAAAGATACAAACACACACACACACACACATGTATATTGGTATAATATAAATGAGTAAATGACAATGCATATATTGTGTAGTTAACTGTCAAACGCTTGCGGTATCTAAAAATTTTGTGCACCATAAACTTCAATAAAAAATGTTACTAATGGTAAAATTTAAGCAGATGTATATCGAACTTACAGCTGCACTTAACGATTTCCACTTCTCTCCACCAGCTTTACCAACCTAAAGGCAGCGCATTGGTAAAAACAAGGGTAAAAGCAAGGAAAAATAAGAAAACCCTCAACCATATGAATAATGCGAACAAACTATCGAAAATTAACAGCAGTCTGCAATTTCATACAGCCGAGACGGCTTTAATATGCGGGTTTTCCTTCTTGAAAGTTCCCCTAAACTCCTCCCTGCAAGAACAACATAAAACTTAAGACCAGCCCCACAAACAGTACAGATTGGAGACCCGATTTCTCGAATTTTCGAATACTAAGAAGAATAACACAAGTTTCATACAGGAACACAAAGAAAGCACTCGGGGGCCTTTTGGGCTTGTTTGGGTCTTTCTTGCCCTTGGTTTGCTTATTAGCCTTCTTCTTAACTGTCTTTGCAGGGGTAGCCTTTTTTTTCCCAACCTTACTGAAACAACCAAAATACACATTTTTTTTTAGTGAGAAATGTATCGTCCGATCGAAACAGATGCTTAATTGATTAAAAAGGTACTAAAGATCGACCGGTCATCAACGGGCTTCAGTGCTTCTTTAGTTTCCTTTTTCACAGCCCCCTTACTCTTGCTCCCGGTCTTCATATCTACAACCAAAACTTGCATACTATAAACACAGTCGAATTATAAACATCAAACAGTTTGTGATTAAACAATGAAGCAAATTAAAACAATCATACAAAATTGTAGCCCCAACAAATTGGGGAGAAAAGATGAACAACAGCAAGTGACCTCAAAAAGGGGAAATAAAAGCAAAGCAAACCTAAACTCAAAATTCACAAGGATTACCACAAAATCAATCACTGAATAACGAAAAACACAACAAATTACTAGAAAATAAATACCACAGTTCATCAAAAAAAAGCACTGAAAATGAAAATAAATAGCAAGATAAAGTTTACCTAAGAAGAAGAAGATAACAAGCGATCGGTGGTGAGTGAATAAGAGAAAGAGAGTTGAAGAAAATGAAGGAATAATGAAACGAAATGAGAAAGAACGCGTACTCTTCACGGGCTACCGGGCCAAGCGGTAGACAGGTTTGTGTCGCAGCCTAATACTTTTTAGACAAAAAAAA